TCTCCAAATCTATTTACTAAGAAGAGCCAAATTAGAGACCTTAAGTTTCCTTAAACCTAGTCCATCTTCCTCCAAAGGGAGGCAAACCTGCTCCCAGTTGACAAGGTGAACCTTCTTTTCTTCTTCCCAACCCCTGCAGTCTGCACAAGAAATTTCCTTGTAGATTCTCCAATCTCTTAGCCACCTTAGCTGGGATAGGGAAGAGAGATAGGAAATAGGTGGGAAGATTAGAGAGGGTACTTCTTAAAAGAGTTAATCTTCCTCCAAAAGAGAGATATTTTGCCTTTCCAAGAGGAGAGCTTTTTCTCCAATCTTTCAATTACTAGATCCCAAATAGTTGACGAAGAGCATTTTGCATCAAGGGGTAGCCCCAAATATTTCACAGGAAGAAAATCCACCCAACAAACCATCACTCTGGCACACTCCTCCAAATTAGGCACTTGACCAACTGGGATGATCTGACTCTTATTGAGGTTGACTTTCAGCCCAGCAACTTATATGTTTCTTATGAAGATTATAGACAATATATAGAAAAAGATGGTTGCTTCTTGCCATGGAACCTTAGAAATTACCCTAGGATTCATGGTTTTTGTATAAAATAACCTATCAACTAAACTAGGTGACTATTAATAGTCAAAAATAGAGGCTCACCCCTCTATTTTCTGAAAGTTTTATTCTATATTCCATTTTTCATGAATATGTTGATTTTCTATGTTTCAAAAGAAGCTTATACATTTTTTTTTGAAGATTATAGACAATAAATAGCGAAAGATGGTTGTTGCTTGCTATGGAACCTAAGAAATTACACTAGGACTCATGGTTTTTATTCAAATAACCCACCCATCACCTAGGCAACTAGGCAACCTTGTCTCAAAACCTTGAAAACTATGCCTCTAAGATCCACTCCCTTTGACAATCAAGAAATAGAAAGATAGCTTAATATGTGGACCAATGAGTTCGCATGGTCACAACACTTTTTTTGACCCTCCAATAAAACATGGTATGTTATCAACCAAATCACCCAATGAGTATTTGCTTAGATGATTTGGTATCGATGTGTTCACATGGTCACAATACTTACTTGCAACCCTCAAATAAAACACATGCATGTTACTACTCAAACAAAAATCCAAACTATCYAGTGAATGCATCCTACTATTACTATCCCAAATGATACACTAATAACCGGCTAACATATGCCTAGAGTCTACTATTTTTCTATGACAATTTAGAAATACCAAGGTAGTCTAACATGTTGAACAATGAATTCACACAACCACAACACTTTCACGTGACCCTCCAATGAAACACAAGCATGCTATTAATGAAATGAAAAAACAAATCATCGAATGAGTGCATGCCTAGGTGATTTAGTTTCAATGAGCTTGCAGGGCCACATCACTTTCTTATAACCCCACAACAAAACACAAACATACTAACAATCAAATGAAAAATCAAATCACTCGGTGAATGCATACTTTTTCCCTACCCTAAATGATACAAAAACAACCTACTAACATATGAAACAATAAAGACTACCTCTAAGGTCTACTACCTTACTATGACAATTAAGAACTGCCAAGGTAACCTAATATATGTTGTGATGTGTTCACATGGTCACAATATTTTCTTGTGGCTCTCCAATAAAACACTAAACTGCTATCAATCAAAAGAAAAACCAAATCACCTAGTGAATGCATGCTTGGGTGATTTGATTTTGATGAGCTCGCGTGGACATAACACTTTCTTATGACTCTTTAATAAGTCACGAACATGCTAATAATCAATTTTAAACCAAAATCACCTTGTGACTGCATGACTGAGTGATTTGATTTCAATTAGTTTTGCATGGTCACAACACTTTCTTGTGACATTCAAATCAAGGTTTGAAATGCCGATGTCAGTGGAAATGTCGGTCATCCAAATATAAGAAACATGTTGGAAATGTCGGAATATCAGATGGAAATACTGTAAAAATTATAGATATGGTGGAAACTTTGTAAAATGTGCAAAATATAAAATGTTATTTTATGAAATGATAAAAGAAGCATAGGCACACCTTTTTAAATTATTATCTTATTCTAAATCATTAAACAAAGCTAGAAAACTAAGGTTATAGACAAAAGAGTATATTCTAAAGTTTCCCTATAAACCTTAAGATTCGGAGCTTCATGATAGAATGAGTTAAAGCCAAATTTGAACTCATAGAAAATGTAAATGGTTGTAATAGATTAACCAAATAATCTATTACACAAACAAAATCTAATATTTAACTTTATATTTGAAATGAATATTGAGTTAGGTCAAAGTGGTAATCATATAAGTTAGGTGGACAATAACTTGCTACTTTACAAACATACAATATTGTTACCAAATTATGTTATAATACTATCTCTTGTACTCCACATAGTATTGGTAGTGTTCAATGGGGAATATGTTAATTCCAGTAAAGCTTCATGTTGCTACCCATGGAAGTGGAAATGGAAATATGTCATGGAAACTATCTCTTGTACTCCACATAGTGTTGGTAGTGTTTATTGGGGAAATGTCGATTCCAGCAAAATTTCATGTCGCTACCCATGGAAATGGAAATAGGTCGTGGAAATATTAGGGAAACTAGGGACATTTTAAACAATGATTCAAATAAAACACACGCATTCTATCAATCAAATGAAATACCAAATCATCCGATGAGTGCATACTTGTTGCTACCCCAAGTGATACATGAACTAACTGCTATCATAAGAAAAAATAGAGACTATTTCTAGAGTCCACTACCTTACTAAGAATATCAAGAAATTCAAAGATAGCCTAATATGTAGTATGATGAGTTCACGTAATGATAATACTTTCTTATGGCCTTCAAAACAACGTGGACATGCTATAGATCAAAAGAATAAACCAAATCAATCAATGAATCCATGCTTGGGTGATTTTGTTTTGATGAGTTCACATAGTCACAACAATTTCTTACAACCATCCAATAAAACACAAATATGCTACTATCAATTGAACAAGATGGGCAAAATGGAAGGGTGCATCTAGACTTTTATGTAATAGGCAAATACCACTTGGATTAAAAGGGGAACTCTATAAAATAGTTGTAAGGCCAACTACATTGTATGGAGCAGAGTGTTGGGAAATCAAGAAACAAAATGTCCAAAAAATGAATGTGGCAGAAATGTGAATGCTAAGATGGGTGAGWGGAAAAAAACTAGAAATGATAGGATTAGAAATGAAGTTACCCGTGGGAACCTAGGAGTAGCTCCAATAGGTGATAAAATATGAGAAAGAGAGAGAGTAAATTAAGATGGTTTGGTTTGGGCACGTGCATAGAAGAGCACCAATTGCGCCAGTTAGAAGAAGTGATTTGTTACACATTGAAGGGGCTAGAAGAGCTCGAGGTAGACCAAAAAAGAAATGGGTAGAAGTAGTAAGAACCGATTTAAGCACTAATAATTTAATAGGGGAAATAGCTTTAAATAGAACGGATTGGTAAAACAAGATTCATGTAGCCAAGCCATAAAGTTGGGATAAGGCATGAATGATTTAAAACCAAATAACCCAGTTAAAGCTTGTATGCTATTGTTACACCAAATGATACAAGAATAACCCACTGTCATATAAAAAAATAAAGACTACTTCAAGAATATTACCTATGGCAATTAGGTAATACCAAGGTACCTTAACATGTAGAGTGATGGCTTCACATTGTCACAACACTTCCTTGTGACTCACTAATCAAACATGAACATGCTACCACTCAAATGAAAAACCAAACCAACCACTGAGCACATGTCTGTTGTTGTTACCCAAAAGATACAAGAAAAACCTGCTATCATATGAAATAAGATACTACAAATAACTCTTGTTGARATCTCTTTGATTTCATTTAAGAAAACATCGTATCTCCAAAGACCTTCCTAAGAGCTTAATAGTGTGCAGACAACCTTGCTAAAGATTTTTTACATCCTTCCCCTTTCTTTTGCAATAAAAGTTATCCTTACTAGTAAACTGATGTCTCTCCTAAATACTTTCTAAGAGCTTAATAGTGTATAGACAACCTTACTAGTTTCTTTTTATTATTTTTCTTATTTGCTAGGGTTCAATCAACATGTATACTATCAACATATATATATATATATATATATATCCTTAATTAGGTCTATATACCTATTTGGAATCCCTTTCTTTTCTAAAATCTATCACACTATCTCTTTAGGGACTTTGTCATATACTTTTCTAAATCAAAGAACACCATATGAAGATCTCTCCCCTTCTCTCTAAACTCTTTTATCAATCGTATCAAAAGAAAGATAGCTTGCATGGTTGATCTCCCTATCATAAACCCAAATTGGTTTGTCATATACTTGTTTCATGTCATAACCTTTGCTCAATTGTTCTTTCCAAAAGTTTCGAAGTGTGGCTCGTGAGTTTAATCCCCTGATAGTTATTACAACTTATATATATTGTCTTTGTTCTTAAATATAGGAACAATACTTGATTGGGGAGACAAGTAATGCACCTTTTCAATTATAAATTACTTTCTTCACTTGTACATAAAAAAGTAAAGAAAATAAACTTTCACTTGGCCTACAAAAAAGTGCATGCGTGACTCATGTCAAATTTCACCAATTCTGATGTTTTAAATCCTCAATCCAAACATATTTCAAAGATCCAATGAATGTCAGTCAAGGAATGCCAAGATAAGTGAGCTATCTAACATATTCGACACACAACTACCACAAGCATCAAAGGCCACGGCTAGCACAAGACTGTCACAGAATCCTCAAACCAGGCACTTCATGCGGACACATTAAAGTATGATTTTCATGAGCAAACCATATTCAGTCTTTCAGATAGATCATAATGAAGACATTAGGAAATATATCAAACTGACCATTTTACGGAGGCGTGTGGGATGTTAATAGCACAAGATACCGGTTTCGGGAACCATAAGAAAAAGTTACTTCTATCTACCAGGAAGAGAGTTTAATTACCTCTTAAGTCTCCTTTCTTTCCCTTCTCTTGGAGGACATATACAAAATTAACTATCCTCTTCTGTTCTGCAGCACTGAAAACACCAGTGTGAAGCTCAAGACCATCAAGAATGTTAACAATCTTTCCGTTGATTCTCTCCAGGCAAATGAAATCCTTCTTCCTCTGGACATTCATAAATCTAAGGTACTCTCTTCGCTCCCTTGACAAAGAAGGCTTTCTCTGCACGTTGGATCCTAACTCCACCTTCTCCGGTGGAAGACTTTCAGTCCCCGAAGAATGCTTGTTTCCTTCTTTCTCTACGTCCTCCCCCTCCTCTTCCTCGAGCTCGTCCTCTTGTGCCATATCGGCCCAAGACATGCGTGCAGTTGGAGTAGTAATTATTGCAGGCTCGGATGGCGTTCCATTCGACGAGACATCTTCAATATGTTCTGACCATCCGTTGTCTCCATCTTTCCAGCTCCCGAGCGAATGATTGTCGCAATCATCATGATTATCGTGGGATTTTTCGTGCAATTCCGGCTGAGTTGGATTGGAATTAGCAAGATTTTCGTCCGAGTGTGAGTGCTCGGGATCAGCAGAAAGCTCTACAATCCAAAATCAATCAGCACCAAAAACTCTAGTCAGAGAACTAGAACATGGTTAACAAACAGACTAGTGTCGGTTTTTAAAATAGGAAGGAGAAAAAAAAAAAAAAACTAATTGCCGCGCGTAATAACAATTCACAAATGAACCGTAAAATTAGATACATGGAAGTGAAGTCACCTAATTTCGACTGAGAGACAAGGGAAAACAAGTAGAGAATCAAGGAAAGATTGTACCTGGATCGATAGAACGGACACGATCGGAAAGGATGTGAGTACAATTGGGGCAGAGATCTCTGGTGAGGAAGGGAAGCCAAGTCGTGAGAAACTCGGCTGCGATCTGCAGTTCTGAGGTTTGATAGTTTCGGATGAAGGGATCGTCCATTCGATCTGGAAGATCGTTCATCGTCTCCGTCAGTAAGTCTGGCTGTCTGTCTGTTGGGGTCGAATCAAAGAACAAGACAACGAAAAGTGCGAAGGAGAATCGCCGATGAGGATGAGATGATTAAACGTAGTGAGGTTGTGACTTGTGAGAATTGAGAAAAAGTCAGTCGCGCTCTGTGGTGGTGGATTACTCGGTTGAGAGATGCCAGTTGAGGAAACAAAAACCCGACGACGAGACGAGCAAAAGACCCCGCCCGTCCAGGAGACAGGTGGATGGTGTGACTGCTTCAGACCTTCAAACTTGCTTACTTGTTAGTCCCAGCCCAGCAAGCCAAAAACGGCTGTTTGGCCCTAACGCCCTTACCAGTTACCAGAATTCTGTAGCAAGTTTCCTTATTCGRATTTTATCTCACCACGAAAAGAATATATCAAAAAACAATAWTTTCATTTTCCTATTCCAACTAAATATACTTTCCATGGCTTCACGTCCGGACTGTAAAAAATAAATAAGAATATTTGTCGTCCTTGTATTGGCACTAATTCTCTCAATATTATTGTTACAACTATATAATAAAGTAAAATTTTGTGAGGTCGAAATAAATGGATATTCTTTTTTATGAAACAAATATCCTTCGCTATAGGAGTAAAATATTCTGTATAATTATTTTTTATAATATCATAATTTTACATATTAAATCTTAATAGTCTCATTTTTATTTTTTTAAGATTAATAAGTTATAAGACGGAATGCCTCTTAACCAAATTCATTAATTCAACAATGTAAAAAAAGATGAAGACAAACGTAGTGGCTAACGTAGATGTTAATGGCATATATCACATATCTCACCCTGATTGAACTGCCACATAGTCGCTAACGTGGATGTTACTTMGCCAATGTAGAGAATAGAGACGTGGCACGTTGCCATTCGCCAAGGAGGCAGACTATAACGTATGTTGCTGACCTCGAACAACGAGAAACATGTGACGAACGTTAGGCTTAACTTAACCTCCTCCGTACGAAGAGCGCCTTGGTCATGGAATCTCGGTTGAAGTCGACCTGAGAGCACGACGACACACCTGTAGGTATATAAAAGCACGGTACCTACTCTCATCCGCTTCTAGCTCTCTATTTTTTTGTCAATAGTATTCAAAAATTTGATTTCGAATTTGATATTTGACATTATCAAATTGAATTCGAATAATTTGAATATCTAATCATTCAAATTTGGATATTTTATTTATATTGAATATTTAATCTGATTCAAATTTAGTCATAATCTAATTCGATTCAATAAATATCTGAATCTGATCGATTATTTAATCCATATATATAATATATAAAATATTTTATAGAATTTATATATAATTAAGTTATATAAATAAATTATATATTTATATACTTTATATCAATAAAATATTTATTTTATATATTTATCAATTACCTAAAATAATTAATTAATCAAATTCGATTCAAATCGAATATTCGAATATTTAATCGGATTCTAATTCAAATATTAATTTTCAATATCTGTCAGATATCGAATCGAATTTAGATATTGCCTGATCCGATTCGAATTCGATCCATTTACACCGCTACAGTCTTAACCTCTTTAGTTCTATTCAACTAAGGTGGCATTTGATAAATATAAAAATTCAGATCCGAAAAGTTAAAAAGATATTAAATGTATCTAAAATCTGAAAAAGAGGCATAGATGCTTTTCTACTTTTTAGAGGATCTGAGTCCATAAGTTTGTTTGTGTTGGATCAATCCTTTACCATCTGAAATTTACTTATTTTACTATTTTACCCTTAAAACATACTATTTGAAAATGTTGAATTCAATTTGCATTATCTCATAAAAATTAATTTTCAACCTCAAAATAATATTGAAACAATACAAATAATAAATAATAAATTAATAATTACTAATTAATGAAACAATTAAAATTAAAATATTTTTTAAAAATTAATGAAATAATTAAAAATTATTAGTTAATAAAAATAATTAATAATTAATAAATAACATAAGTAAAATTAATAAAAAATAATTAATGCTTAAAATATTAAAATAATTAATAAAAATATTATTATTATTCACTGAACCACCGCTATTGCGGTGGTGGGAAGACAGGGGAGAGAGAGAGAGAGAGAGAGAGAAAATACACTAGGAGGGAGAGCCGCCATTGCAAGTTGCAAAGGTAGTGGCGGAAAGACAAGGCGAAGAGAGAGAGAAGTTGATGTTTAGGTTTTTTGTGTTTGGGGTTATAAGGGGTAACGCATGTCATTTTCCAAAATATCTTACAATATTTTGGACAATGCATTGACTCTGAAAACATGTTTGAGCGCGTTAAGAACTGGCCCAATGTCTATTATTTTTAGATCTGAAAATAAGATCCAGACCAATTTTAAGAGGTAAAATCAAACATGCTTTTCTTATTAACTTGGGCATCAAATACTCCTCCCTAGAAAATTACCTTAGGGCTCTTAACCCCTATATATATATATATATAGTTGGATACACCTTAGCTCATTTCGCTCATCAGAGAAAAATAACTATATTTGACTATTTGAGTATGAAATTAGAATAATTAATGATTAAACGTTATAAAAAATAAAAAAGAACCATATTTTTTGTTTTGTTAAAGCATACAAAGATGAATAAAAAAAACAACTCAATTTTTTGGTGAAGTTCTCCTAAATAAGAATAACAATCAATATAATGCTATAAATCTTTATAAAAAAGGTTAGAGATATCTAAAAATATCACTTTGGAAGTAATAAAATATGGCCTAGTGGGCACAAGTTTAGTTGAGGATTTTTTTATAAAGATTTTCTTATATGTTAATTTATTGTAAGTGAAAATTTAAAAGGATCTTTCCCAAAAAACAAATACAGAATTATTCTTTTATTAAGCTTGAAAGTTATAAATTTAAATAGAAAAAAAATACAGATTTTTAATTAAACATCTGACCCATATAATGCCAATAGTCTGATAATTGTCTTGGCTTAACATCCAAACCACGGTCAAAAACTTTAATGAGATCTCTCAGCTCCTCTCATTTCAGCCTTTCTTGCTCCCTCGTAAAGCCATGTCATTAATGTCTTCTCCCTCTCTCGCAAAGCCACATCATAATGCCTAACCCACTATTTTGCATTCCCTAATTAAATCCAATCTGTGAGAGGAGACGTGATAGGGTAGGATAACAGGGCCATTATGCCTCTTAATTTTTTACCCTTCTTCTAATTAATCCACTCACAAATCTTCATTAGGCTCCGTGATTTAATAGAGTTAGAATCAATCACAATTCTAAATCGTGATTTTCATTCAACCCAAAATTAGGCTCCTAATGCATCTCACAGTCTTCCTCTTCCAAGTGAAACACCGACATCTTTTTTTCTCCAGCTCAACCAACTATTCAATCAAGAGAACCCATCCTGCAGGTAAGGCAAGAATTGTTTCTTCGTTTTTCTCCTTCTAAGCCATGAAACAAGGGCTCCGCCCCATTGTGTTTCTAACCTATAGTCCTCTCCTATTGCGGTTCAACCATAATTGGATTAAAAGGTATACTAGTGGCACTACAAAGTCCAGCCCATTGTACTCTACAGGTAAACAAAACTTATTGCCAAAACAGGGGAATCGCCTTTCTTCTTCTGGGCAGCAAAACAGGGGCTCTGCTCCATCGTGTTTCTAAACCACCATCTTCTCCTCTTGTAGTTCAATCGTCCTTTGATTCTCATGAAGTTCAGTTGGAAATCACTGCCAGCATACCTCGACCAGTTAAAACCTCCCCCACAATTGAGTCACTTTGTTAATCATTCAGTTATTGTTACATTTCACCCCTACTGTAAATCATTTAGTTCTTCTCCAACATACCTCCACTGTTATTGTTACATGATCACAGACTCACAGTAGGTCAGTAGCAGTGGAAGAAGGGTTGTGTTCATTGCACCGCAGAGGTATGCTATTACATTTAGCATACATGTGTTAGTTGGGACACATCTACTGTGATTGCCCATTCGAGCAATCACTGTAGATACAAAGTGGGCAATAGAGATTATTCAAATGGGTCAGATCTTTGCTCTGTCAGTCTCATATCCGACCCATTTTCTGTTATTTACTGCGTTACTGTGTTATTTTTGTTATTTGTTCTTCAATAATTTTTAAAATAACTTTTGTTTAGTTACTTTAGTCCCAAACAAACTTCTTAAGCTAGGCTTGTTTATCATAATTACAATAAACTGTTTAATTAAAAAATATTAAACATTTTACTATGTTGAAAGTAATTATGTTTTCCATTCACTAATATTTTCAGTAGTTTTAAACTTTTAATAAATTTTAAATTAAATACCATATTTATTAATAGAGAATGTTGAATATATTTTCTGAAAATTGCTAAAAATTATCAAAATTTACAAAAAWTCTGAAAATCACCAAAAATTACTGAAATTTAAAATAATTACTTAAAAATTATTTTAAAATAATTACAGTAAATTAAAATAAATACTGAAAATAATTATTTTAGAATAATTACTGAAACTTAAAATAGTTATTTTGAAATCATTATAGAATAATTATTGAAAAGTTAAAATAAATACCATATTTATTCGTTATGGTATTTATTTAATTAATAGTAATTAATCAATTAATGGTATTTATTTAATAATTAAATTAAATTAATTAATTAATAATCTTCTCTTTGGACCCAAGTAATTAGCGTATAATATAAATCATAATTTTAGGAATCCAACCCAATATAATAGATTAATAGGAAACCAATTCCTACATAGTAGGAAATCTTTCCACCTTTCAAACTCTCTCATGATCTCCTCTATCCGAATATAGTAGGAAATCTTTCAACATTTAAAACTCTACAGTCCATTATCTCTATTTATCTTTTACTCAATACAATAGGAAAGCTTTGTACAATTGAGTTATAACTCTATCTAATCTCCGGTTCCAATACTATCGGTTCCGTTCCCATAACGTCTTTTCACTCTGTTGTACTCTTCCCATCTCTTTACTTTCCCGCTCTCTTTCAGTAGTTGATTGACAGAAGGTGACCGAGTAAATCCAATTGAGGGAAGACGCGCCATAGCTGATGCTGCATTTGCATTTTGTTTGTTACATTCTGTCATCTTATTCTTCTGTTCTTTGGAGCACAAGTTAGGATATGTTTAAAAGGTTTTCTGGCAAAGTTTTACAAAAGATTTGGGAATTCTTGGGGTTAATTTTTCTTGGTGCCATTAGAAGGTCCAATTTTTTTTTTTTTTAGTTCAAAGAGAAGTTAATTAAATTAAATTAACTTGAGTACCTTAACTAATTTACTTACTTAGCTTAATTAAATTAAGTTAATTAGTTATAACTAATTAACTAGTAGTTAGT